AGAGGGCCTGCGGGGGGTTGTGGCTCTCCGCCTGCCGCTGAGCAGGACGGATGCCCCTTAGCAGTTAGCTACCCGAGCTGTGAAAAGACTAATCTGGAATTGCTGCCAGCACTGACTGCGCCGTGCCAGTGACGGCCTGAATCTAGCACTTGCCTTCGGTTTAGGCCTCCGAAGCACTTTATAATTCTTTGAGACTATTCCCATTTGGTAATTTTCTCAAGTGGATAAAGGGTATTTTATCGAGTGAACATATCTTAAGGAGTGCTGCTGATCTGATTGCCAGCCAGTAACCTGTAGATAATATTTATCATTACATTGTTTGTTTCACAGCTTCTACTGCACTATCTGTACTTACACAAAATCCATCCTTTACAATTATCTTCAGAAAGGAATTGCTGCATGTTTGAGGCCCTAACCATATGGACACTGGACTAATAAGTGTATGTACACTTACTATAGATAAATAGATCTCTTATATGGTCTGAAGACTGCCCGGGTTTTAATTAATTTCTTTCAAATGCTTTGCAGCCTCGACTTTGATATAGATTTGGGACAGTTTTTCATCCTGGTATTATGGAGAGATAAGATCGTTTAATAAATTTAAATCCAAAATGCAGACTGGTGAGATTCCATGATCCTTAAAAAAAATTCTTGAGGCTGCACTTGGATCCACAGGGGGGAGAACTTTGTGTCTACATCCTCTCTTCTCTCATTTTCTGAGTTTCCAGGATGTGAAATTGACAGACTTTTCCCAGAAGTAACTTGCCCACAATCACCCAGTGAGTGAGTAGTACAGCCAGGAATATAACCAAGTTCTTGGCTCAAACTTCAGGTCAGGTTATACACCGGATTATTTGTGGTAAGGGTGTGAATTATAGGAATAAAGTACCAAAAATGCTGACATCTCAGGTTCTGGTGGCTGCTTCAATGGTCATTCAATTCAGAACTGTTCACAGTATTACTGAGTGTTTACCTGTCTAAAATACACATGTTGGAATTCTGACTGACACACACAACAATTATTATAATGCTGAAGAACTAACAATTACAAATTTAGCAGAAAATAAACCTAGCGCTTGATTTAAAAATATAGTGGCTAGCAAATGTAGTCCTTCAATATTGTATTTTTCCCTGCTGATGCCAAAGTATCACATTTGCAGACACTACAACAGCCTTAACTGATTAATGAAAACTTCAATAAGAACATAAGAACGGCCGTACTGGGTCAGACGAAAGGTCCATCCAGCCCAGTATCCTGTCTGACGACAGTGGCCAGCACCAGGTGCCCCAGAGAGGGTGGACCAAAGACAATGACCAAGCGATTTGTCCCCTGCCATCCCTCTCCAGCCTCTGACAAACAGAGGTCAAGGACACCATTTTATCCCCTGGCTAATAGCCTTTTATGGACCTAACCTCCATGAAATTATCTAGCTTCTCTTTAAACTCTATTATAGTCCTAGCCTTCACAGCCTCCTCTGGCAAGGAGTTCCACAGCTTGACTTCATGCTGTGTGAAGAAGAACTTTTTTTTATTAGTTTTAAACCTGCTCCCCATTAATTTCCTCTAGTTCTTCTATTTAGGGAACTAATAAATAACTTTATCGGCCCTCTCCACACCTCTCATGATTTTATATACCTCTATCATATCCCCCCTCAGTCTCCTCTTTTCTAAACTGAAAAGTCCCAGTCGCTTTAACCTCTCCTCATATGGGACCCGTTCCAAACCCCTAATCATTTTAGTTGCCCTTTCCTGAACCCTTTCCAAGGCCAAAATATCTTTTTGAGGTGAGAAGACCACATCTGTACACGGTATTCAAGATGTGGGCGTACCATAGTTTTATACAGGGGCAGTAAGATATTCTGGGTCTTATTTTCTATCCCTTTCCTAATAATTCCTAGCATCCTATTTGCCTTTTTGACCGCTGCTGCAAACTGCGGGGAAGTTCTCAGAGAACTGTCCACGATAACTCCAAGATCTCTTTACTGATTTGTCATAGCCAAATTAGCCCCCATCATACTGTACGTATAGTTTGGGTTATTTTTCCCGATGTGCATTACTTTACACTTATCCACATTAAATTTCATTTGCCATTTTGTTGCCCAATCACTCAGTTTGGTGAGATCTTCTTGGAGTCCCTCACAGTCTGCTTCTGTCTTGACTATCCTAAACAGTTTGGTATCATCTGCAAACTTTACTACCTCACTGCTTACCCCTTTCTCCAGATCATTTATGAATAAGTTGAAAAGGATTGGTCCCAGGACTGACCCTTGGGGGACACCACTAGTTACCCCTCTCCAATCTGAAAATTTACCATTTATTCCTACCCTTTGTTTCCTGTCTTTTAACCAGTTCTCAATCCAAGAAAGGACCTTCCCTCTTATCCCATGGCCATGTAATTTACACAAGAGCCTTTGGTGAGGGACCTTGTCAAAGGCTTTCTGAAAATCCGAGTATACTATATCTACTGGATCCCCCTTTTCCACATGTTTGTTAACCCCTCCAAAGAACTCTAACAGATTAGTAAGACAGGATTTCCCTTTACAGGAACCATGTTGACTTTTGTCCAACAACTTATGTTCTTCTACATGCTCCACAATTTTATTCTTTACTATTGTTTCAACTAATAGCTGTGTTTAGTGAAAATTCTACGAGTTACAGGAGGAGGTATTCAAACTGAGGATCTTATTTGTAAGCAGAAGATACACAAAATGAGTCTTAAAATTGAATTAAAATATAGGTCCATAACGTCATTGACTCTGCCCTCATTTTCTCCCACTAAATTCAGCAAGTTTACAGACACTAATGAGGTCAGAACTTTAACCACACCATGAATAAGAACAGGGCCCATTTCTGTCATCTGTACTCATGTTGAGTTAGTACTTACACAAGTAGTCCTATTGAAATTGGTAGGACTGCTCACAGGAGTAAGTACCACTCCTGGAGGTAAACAGTGGAAGAATCACACACATAATGGTTAAGGGTGGGGAACCTAAGGCCTCAGGGCTCCCCCTCCCCCCCCAGCATTGGGGAGCCTGTGTTGGCACCCTATTGCAGGGCTGCAGCATTCAAAATCTACTAGCCTGCACCTTCCCCACTCAGGCTCTGGTGTGTGAGGAGAATGTGGGAAGTCTATCCCTCTCAGTCGGGGATCAAGTCAGTGACAGTTATGTTTTGGGGGGAGGGTTTGGCTCCTTGTGTGTGGCCCCCTGACTGATTTTTTTGTAGGTCAGCAGCCCCTGACCCAGAAATGGTTCCTCACCCCTGGATTAGAGCAATGAATCACATGGATTAGCAAGGAAAAAAAGAATGGTCTACTTTAGTGAAGCCACAGCTGTCTCTCTGTGATCCATATAGCTTAATTTAGATAAGGATTTTCTCTTAGTGTACATTTAAGGCTAAATGCAAAAGTATGAACACAATTCTGCAATGTTCAGAGAACATAAACTAACTTGTCAATATAGCATTTCTAAAATGTAGAAAATCATTTAGCATGCTTAGGATCAACTCTTAAAACTAATGTAATCTGCAAATACAGTACTTAGAGCAAGGGACTTGAAAGCAGGCAGTCGACTTAGATTTTTTGAACTTGTCACTGATCTGCTGTGTGATATTTGCCAAATGATTTAAGCTCTTCAGTCTCAGGTTACCTAGCTCTATATTAAATATAATGTATGTTCCTTACTGGGATGTTCTGAAATTAATTATAAATTATTATTATTGCATTAGAAATACACATTTTGGGATTACTTTCAAAGTCTGAAGAATACATAGCCATCTATACCCTCCCTGCCAACTAGCTGGTTATTCAGGACTTATTTTTAATTGCTCATTGAGGCTTATTGTTCTGCTGATACTATTAAGTAACTGGCTATAGTCATTAATTGTATTAAGTAGAAGCATTTGAACAGAATAATTTTATGGGTCACTCAGTTAACTTGAATTAATTCCAGCTCTCCAAATGAAAGGGTGGCAAATTTAATAATCTGTATGAATCCTATTTATCCTGTTTGACTTAGTGAGCTTATAGTTAATTTTAATCTGTGATGTACCATTTTCAAAAATTATAGCAGCCAGTCCTCTCCACTGCAACTATTTCAAGTTTCAGTATTCACTATCTATTAAAGTCAACCTTTTTTCTTATTAG